ACTTCTCCCACTCTGTTTGTCGTGTTGCTGCTCTTGGTAAGAGTAGTTCGGGTTCCCTGTTTGTCGCCAACCCGGCACGTACTTGGGGATTTGCCATGGGCCCCATGTTTTTGGGTAGGGTCCTTTAAAAAAGTGTCCTGATAATGGGCATTACAACTCACTTCTCTTCTGGTGTATTAGGCGCACTTGGGCAGTGCCTATGCCTTAAGCCGGTTTCGGGAAACATAGCCTAACATGGGGGCCGCAATCTAGATAGGTGGCCATTCACCTGCACCAGGGCACCCAGTAGTACCCTCAACCCCAAGCTCGAAACCTGAAACTCAATCCTGATGGCCAGTCAAGTAAGATCCAAAAAGACCCTGAAAACCCTACTCCTAGGATGCCCAGTAGTGCCCTTGTTCCCTTTTTGGTAGGTTTAGGTTCCCTTAAAAACCCCTTTAAGCAAACTAGGTTGCTGGGCAACCTAGACTCTAAAGGCTAACTATACCTTACAAAAAAGAAAACTTCAGCAAGCCCTAAACCGAGGGGTTCGTGGAGCTTAGGTCCCTGGGACCTCGCAGGGTTCTTAGGACTCTTCGCTTCTTTGGGGCTCTTGCCCGAAGCCCGAAGGTTTAGTAACATAGGGCCATAGGGTTGAGGGATTGTGCACACACAACCCTAAACCCTAAACCCTAAACCCTAAGCCCTAAGCCCTAAGCCCTAAACCCTAAACCCTAAACCCTAAACCCTAAACCCTAAACCCTAAACCCTAAACCCTAAACCCCCAAACCCTGTTGTTGAGATAACATTGATCTTAATCTAAGCTCCGGTATTTTTTGCGCTCCAGTCCGCATGTCAAGCCACTGAAGTGCAACTTCTCAGTGAGGGTTTAGGGTTTAGGGTTTAGGGTTTAGGGTTTAGGGTTTAGGGTTTAGGGTTTAGGGTTTAGGGTTTAGGGTTTAGGGTTTAGGGTTTAGGGTTGAGGGTTGAGGGTTGAGGGTTGAGGGTTGAGGGTTGAGGGTTGAGGGTTTTGTATTCGGGTTGAGGGTTTAGGGTTTAGGGGAGGAAAAGTTGGTAGAAAGAGAATATGACTACAAGCAGGCATTCCTGCTCAGATGCCGTGAAGCCAATAGCAATCCTACAGCCCTAAACCCCTTAAGCCCTCAACCCTACAGTCCCCCAAGCCCCAGACCATTGGAGGCTGCTTTGTTCAGTGCGTCTTTGCCATAAACCCTGAACCCTAAACCCTAAAACCTGCTTTCTCTAGCAACATGGGGTTTAGGGTAGAGAGACCGGCCAACCCTCCCCGAAAGCATTTGGGTTCCGAGAGTTTGGGTTTAGGGCTTCGGGACTTAGCTTTTGGGCTTACATTTGCAATTTAGAGATTAGGGTTCAGGATTTAGGGGGTTTAGGGATTAGGGTTTAGGGCACCTCAAAGCTCTAAAGCCTTGAAGCCCCAAAGAGCTCCACACCCACGCAATACCCCTACTTCATGGCCGACTAGGTGACCCTTCATTCTTTGGTACCGTAGCCCTCCATGAACACCCAAACTTTAAGCTTTCGCCCCCCAAACCCTAAGCCCTAGAAAACGCCCTTTATCTGTTTATTGTGGGAAAGCCTGCACCTAACCC